CAAAAGGCAGGGGAGTAGACAAGAATGTGTTCCACGGCAGAGAACCGTTAGGAAGAAGATAAAATAAATCAAGAAGCATGTGAAGAGAACAATTTCGCGGCTAGAAGCGGTGAAGAAACGGCAAAGAAAGACAGGCTTTTAGAGAGAGAGAGAATCTTGAAGGAGAGGGAAAGTTTTCTGTGGGTTTCTCTTTTTGGGCTTTCAACTTCTAGGTAAAGAGAGGAAAAATCGAGAGGCGGAAAAGGAAATGTAACGCAGAGAGAAAAACTTTGGGGTTCCGAGAGCTAGGGTACGAAACAGAGAGACCTGAGTGGAGGAACTCCGAAGTACTTCGCTGTCTTCCGCCTGGGTGTCCATTAGGTAAATCTGTTTTTCCACCATATAGATCTGCTCTCTTTCACTCTACTAATTTATATTTTAAGCAAATGCACTTTCAATCATGCTACTAACTTTTTGACATTTAATGTGCATCAGATTTTGTATAGCTTCACCAGATTATATAATTTTCTAAGATCAGTGAGGATGAAAGAAAGATTAACCAAAGAGAGCAGTTTCCTGCTTTCGGTTTTCCAATCTGGAGATGAAGGCATGATCATTTGGAAACAGAGAGACCTGAATGGAGGAACTCCGAAGTACTTCGCTGTCTTCCGCCTGGGTGTCCATTAGGTAAATCTGTTTTTCCACCATATAGATCTGCTCTCTTTCACTCTACTAATTTATATTTTAAGCAAATGCACTTACAACCATGCTACTAACTTTTTGACATTTAATGTGCATCAGATTTTGTATAGCTTCACCAGATTATATAATTTTCTAAGATCAGTGAGGATGAAAGAAAGATTAACCAAAGAGATCAGTTTCCTGCTTTCGGTTTTCCAATCTGGAGATGAAGGCGTGATCATTTGGAAATACTGACTAGGTTTAAAAGAATCATCGGCATATCAAGATTATTCATTCTAGAATTTGATAGCTTATAAATGTGGATACTTTCAAATGATAGTATATCAAGTAGGCTTAAATTGGAAGTTGTGCTTTTCTCTGTTAAAGTATAGATAATACAACTACTCGTTCCTATCCATTTAACAATTTAAAATAATTGTCACTCACCCGATGATTCAAAACAGTATCAAAGTAAAGGTTGTTTTCAGTTCTGTAATTGTGAGAACCTCACTTATTGTCATTCACCTGTCTCTTCTGGAAAATTTTTTAGACCAGTCTCTTATCAATAATTAGGCCTTCATGCATAATTTGCCAATCTGAATTGTCTTTCCCTTTCTAGCTTCATATTGGTAAGTTTGTTACCGATTTGCTCTTAAGGTGCATGTTATGCGATAAATGATAAAATTGGTCTATTTTCTAGATTAAGTTAAAGGGTAACTGATCAGCCAACTATTTAGCGAACAGTCTTATTTAGGCCATCAATTTACCACCTCTCAATCATCAAAACCAATGTGTATTTTCTTCTTAGTGCTGTTTTTAATCTTAAATTTTAGACTGTAATTTGTGAAACGTATTAAGTTGAAAGGGCATCATTAAGGACCAGGAGGTATGATATCACATTTTTTTTTGTTTATTATTCACTCTCTTTGTTTATTCTTTAAATTCAGCATTAGAATTTGCTTAGCATGAGATTACCATGACTGACTATTTGTGTTCATTTGTTTGGATAGATATTTAAAACAATCTACATAGTTTTGGTGGTTATGCAGCAATAACTTAATTTCTGGTTTCTTGATAATGTTCACCTCTTTGTAGCTTCATCCAAAGTGTGCCTCAGGTTACATCTGTGAGTTGTTAGCATTGTACTACTGTGCAAGTTTCGAGTATTATCATGCAGAATGTAGGGGCGATCTTGAGATTTAGAGGTAAACAATATTAAAAATATAAGGTTCAGTCTCAAACATTTTATTTTTCTCTTGGTAGTTTTGCTCTAGTTGATGTAGGTTCACATCGGTTATAGGTTAACATCTTCATAATGATTTTCTTGACTGATCTTAGAATTTCTTGATTCCAACTTTCTAAAGAATATTTGTTTACTGATTTGCTTAGAATTCATGATAAGAGTTGTTAGCATTGTGCTACTGTGTAAGTTCCAAATGTTATTATGCAGAATACAGGGGCTATCTTGAGATTTAGAGATAAATAATATTAAAAATATAAGGTTCAGTCTCATACATTTTATTTTTCTCTTGATAGTTTTGCTCTAGCTGATGTAGGTTCACATCTGTTATAGGTTAACATCTTTATAATGATTTTCTTATTCATCTTAGAATTTCTTGATTCTAACTTTTTAAAGAATATTTGTTACTAATTTACACATAGAATTCATGATAATAGGATGTTTCACTTCTCTCTCTCTAGGTTTCTGTCTCATGTCCAAATAACAAAAGCAATACACAATGCAATAAGTCTAACTCAAATTTTCTGATCCTATTAGAACAAGTGAAAGTAAAAATGTACTTAAATCAAATACAACTTCAAATAAAAAATAGAAACTTGAACCTAAAGTTACATTATGTTTAAACAACTCAAACTCAAACATAATTACAAATTCAAGTAAATAGAAACAAAAACCACAATCTGGAAAGATGCCTAACAAAAACTAAGCATATCTTGCAAACTAATTAATGCCTAATATTATTCATATTCTGAAAAAAAAAAACAATAACTTATATCATCGTACATTAAATTGGTCATATTTA